AAAATACATTCCTGAATATATTATAGAAATTTATATTACACTTTAATATTTTGTGACCTTCTCATTTAAAAAGTTCGCCATTGACATTAACGCATATAATTATTATACATACATATATTATTTAAATATATATATATATATATATATATATATATATATATATATATATATATATATATATGTATATATATAAGTATGTGTAATTTATACACAAATACTATATGTATAAATGATTGAGGAAAACGCCCTTCCATTAATTTTCCTGTTTTTATGTGATCTTTATGATGATTTGATTTTTTCATTCGCCATTCTTTTTAAAATTTTTGCTTTACAACAAATACCAAACTATATGTATAGTCTTTAAAAGAAAAAAGCGGAATAGCCTTGTAAATAGTAGGAGTCATTTCAATTTTTGTTTTTCTTTTTTTTTGAATTTCTATATTTTAAAAGTTTTGCTATCATTTATTGAAAATTCGAAAATAGAACACACATAATAAAAATGGCATAGAAATTGTTCCCCAAAATTTTTAGTTACCTCATAATCTGGTTATCACACAAAATATTTTTTTGGTTTTATTTAAATGAGAATTTCATTAAATTTTCTTAGACGCATTTTTCAGTTTTTTGATTCTTCTTTGCTTCAATCTTAAGCAATGTTCAAGCTTCATCATGAATTTTTAAATTATATTCTATGAAAGTGTCTGAAATTATTAGCAACTAGAATGAGTAATAATATTAAAATTTAATATTTAAAATTTTATATTTAAAAGTCATTTAGAAAATTTTTTGAAAAATGAAAAATAATGCATAAAAGAATTTAAAATAAATGAAAAAATTAAAGAAATTTAGAATTTAAATGCTATCCACTGACCAAGAGTTTCTAATATAATTGAATTTCAGTAGCATGCCATTAAATCGCTGCAACCGTCATACTAAGAATAATTTTTATCAAATTTAATCTTTAATCATTAACCTTAGATAATTAAGACAAATCCTTCAGAAAGAATTAATTCATAAATTTGTATTATCGTAAAAATTTTGTATGATCAAACAGAATGGTTGGAATCAATTTTGTATTACATCTTTTTTTACTATTAATATTCTCTCACTATTAAAATTTAACATTTTCAATTAAAAACAAATTTTTATTATTCTTGTTATATTGTAGATCAAGATTTGATTGGTTTTAAAATAAAAATTTTAATTTTAATCGAATCCTAACCAAAACCAAAATTTAACTGAATCCGAACCGAATATTACATAATCCTAAATAATTTTATAATTTTTAATTAAAAACTTCCTGCGGTATTACAATACTCTCATTTTGTGTGCCTAAAAACACAAAATAAAAACAAAATATAAAATAAATTTTGTATAAAGTTTTAAAGTTCTTCTTTTTCTTTTTCTTATTCTTCTTATTTTTTAATCGTATTTAATTTATGATCAAATTTACAGAATACTTTTTTGGATAAAATATAACATTTAGAGAGGAGTGTGGTCTTTTATAATGATTTTTTGATTATTGAAAATTTTTACAACTCAGCAAAAAAAAAGAGTGCAAAAAATAAAATATTTGCTTATTTTGATTTTTATTTTTTATTTTGTTTTTTTTAATATTGATGCTATTTTGTGATTTCTAACTTTATTTTTAAAATACGACCTTGATTAATGTTTGGAAAAACTGGAAGACAGAAAAGAAACTGAGATATAAATTTCCTAAATTATTTAAATTAAAAATTTTCACGCTATTAATTTTGTATATGTATATAGAGTAGAGAATTTAATAAGGAAGAAAAAAAATTCAATGTTTTAAATTTTTAAAAATTTACTGAAATTCAATTTTTTTTATTTTAAATTACAATCATAAATTTATTTTAATTAGAAAATTAGTTGAGAAAAATTTTAGTATAGTAAACACAGTCAATTGAGCAGTGAGAAAAATTACAGTAACCTAAAACTATGCAATATAATTTGAAAAATTTTATATTTTGTAAATATCTGAAAAATTTTTGGTTTTGCTACATATTTAAAAATTAGCTATCTATAAAATTATTAAACATAACTAACGAATTTATTTAAAAAAAAAACTAGGTATTTTTACAAGATCTTATATAATAAGTTCTTAACCCATCGTTCTCTTTATTAGATGTAGGGTTTTTTTAAACTATCATATCAAAAATACACACAAAAACAGTTTAATATTTTAATAAGAATAACTTCAGTAAACTTCAATTCATTCTAAAATAATTAACTAATATTTATAAGAAATATTAGTTTAATATTTGAAATTGATCTGAAATTTTAAATTTCAATATTTTACTAGACGAAACCATTCTATAATACTATCAAATCAGCAACACTTAAGATAAAAGAGATTTTGCTGATAAATAAAAAAGAAATTGCCTCATGTTGCCACAGCTTTAAATTTAGGAGTTAAATAACATCCAATAATTCTTCTCTTAAGAAAATTTTGTATTAACTATTTACTTTTAATAATTTGCTACAAGAAATTTCACAATATTGGCAGCAGACCGATGTTATGGGCGATTAATTCGGTAATATATAATTAGTATACTGTCATATAGACAATAAAAAAAGATTTGTAAGGTTGTTAAAGTGGCTTTGAATAATTATTTCATTTACATATTAAATTTGAAATATATTGTAATTACGACAATTGTATTCCAATTCGCACCCGTATAATTTCTTTGTTAGAACAAGAAGCGAAATAGTTCCTTGTTCGGAAAAATTTAGAAGAGAATTAATTTTTAAAAAGTTTTCAATCTTCAATAAAGTTAATGTCAAATAATTTTTGCGTAAACAAATTTTGAGACCAATATGGATATTTTTAATTAATTGTAAAATAATATTATGATTGTCAAATAGCGTAGAATAAAATGATTGTTTTTTTGTGCAAATCTACTTAAATTGTCTAAAATGCTTTAGAAATGCTGTAAATATTTTTATGCTTAACAATGTATTTTTAATTTTAAGGGTTTTTATCGCAAACATATTGTTTTTATATTAAATTTTTTCAATAAACATAGACATTTAAGAATTATTTTCTATGCATTAATAATGTCCTTTAAATACGTATACAGTTGAACCTGTCTATAAGAGAAAAATTCTAAGAAATTGAAATTTCTTAATTATTTTTATTTACTTTAAGGGTATAGGGTACATTCTTCGTTTTATCACAATATTTTTCATTTTACATATAGCTAAAGATACAATGAAATAGAGAGTAAATTCTGTAAAATTAATTGCAATATTAGAAGAAGAATAAAAGCTTAGATTATAAACCTAATATAAGAACTTAAACTTACAGGAAAAATAATTTGTTAATTAAAAATTTCCCTGTTTCTCAAAGTACTTCTTGTTCAGGTTCAACTATATATAGTATAACATAATATATTCTGGTACTCTATGAATTTACTTTAATGTTTATCTCCGTATATAATATATTAATTGTGGTTATTTTAAACTTTTATATTGATATATAGCACTGTTTTGTAATTACACACACACACACAAAAATATTTTGGAATTTATATTAAATACAAATTATTTATATATATACATTAATTAATTTATTATAATGTCATCAATATTATTTATTATTAATTAATTGGCACATTTTATTAAATAATATTATTTTAAATATTGTCATAATTATATTTTATATATATATATATATATATATGCAATGTTGTCAAAATGGGATAAATTCAAAAATGCAATGATTCGTTTAAGTGATTAAAAATATATGTAAAGATTTAAATTATATTTTTGGGCTTAACTAATAAAAGATTTTCAATAATTGAAAGATTATAAAATTTTAATTATTAATGTCAATTATAATTATGTAATAATATAATTAAATCATTAATTAAAATATTCATTAAAAAATTTTTTTGAAAATATTTACAAAAATGTAATTTCTCCTTATACCCACAACTTATTATTACATAATTGCCGTAATAATAATGGAATTTACATAGTAAAATTTCTACTCTAATGAAAACGCTAGGCAAAAATTTGTTATAGTTTCCGTATAATTTGGCAATTTAAGAAATTTCCGAAAGGTTTTTTATAAAAGTTTTTGTAATATTTAAAAAACCGCAAATCAAATTCTTAAATGTTTCAAAAAATGGTTAAAACTGGGACTGATATAAACTACACTTTCCTTCTAAGAAATGTAGTAAAGGAAACTTACAATATTTTCTTAAATTTTCCGAAATATTTGAATATTTTTATTGGAAATAAATCCATTATCAACGAAATCATCATTATTCAATTAAATATATCACTTTGGCGTTCTTTAAAGTTATAATTCCTTAACAAGATCTCCCACCTATCATTAAGAATTTTTCTAAATAACACATACATATTTTTATTATTCATATGAATTTCTTTATAACCATCAATTTCTGTTCTCAAAATACCACAGCAAATCCTTTAAAGCAAAAATAATATTATATAATTTTTTTTATATGAATTTCAAAAGCATAATTCAACTGATTTCAATTGGTATTACTTTACAAATTATTATACTGTCAATAAAAATGATCAACATGGTGATTCAAATATAATAATTTTAATATGACTATTATGACATCTTACAATGAATGACACCAATCACTTGTATTTTGCACAACAATTCACATAATTATTGCATTTTTGAATAAAAGCACACATCAAGTACACAATGTTTTCATCAAAATATCTTTTTAATCAGTTTTATATTATAAAAACAGCATAATTTATTCCCTATATAATAAAAAAATATATGATTAATTTTCATTTTATATTTTTGAATTTGAATGCTGTCATCATCTTCTATTGACTTATCAAAAAAAAAAAACAAAAAATTAAAATGTCAATAAAATCTTTACTCGAAATTTCAACGATAACACAAACAATTTAAAAATTTTATTAATGTATACAATAAAAACAATTTATTAATAATTATTAATATTAAAAAAAAAACACACAAACAGATGAAACTGAAAATGTAGGTAATTATTTTAGCAATAAAATTTTATTTATAAAATTATTTGTATATATTTTTTTTTTCGAATTAAAATCTTTGTATATAAATTAAAAAAATAGTACAAAAAAATAATAATTTTAATTTCATATAAAAAATTATTAAATATTCTCTTATACTCTGTTTTTTTTCTCTTTTAAAATTTCATTCAAATATACAAAAATAGAAAATAAACAAAATGGAGGTAAAACTATAACACCACATCATCAAACAGCTTTAGATGCATTACATCAACGACTCAACGAACAAGCTGCAAATACAGCATCAAATCGAAATAATTTAGAACAATCATGGATATATGCATTATGTTTAAGATGCCGTGTTGAAGATACAAGACCATCATGGGAGCCACCACATTGGCAAAAAGTTTGTCCATATCCATTATGTCCATCATTTCGGCAATTTGCTCGAATTATTGCATTAGTATTAATTGGTAAATATATATATATATATTTTTTGTATATTTATAAAATATAAAATTGTATAAGAATGAGAGCCATATTGCATTCACGAAACCTACACAATTATAGGATCTCAATTAATTGTTACGAAATAGCAGTCATATTACCAACGGTTTTATTACTAAATTTGTCTATGCAAATTTTCATTACTGCGTAGTCCTAATAGTTTCTCATAATATATAATAACATTTTGTAACGAACTTTTGTTCTAACCATGCAAATATTTAAATTATCATATAAAAAAAAAAAGTTCTTTAGTTATCGTTAGTGCAGATAAATAGACATACTCATATCCGAAAATCATAGTTCATACGGCAGGTAATTAACTTCTTAAAATAAATCAAGTAAAAGAAGCAATGAAATCTGCAATATATTGCATATATACTCTCAAACATTTTCGATAAGATTTGTAACATGTTCGATAATTAACAAAATCTAATCTTAGCTTTTGTAAAGAAAGCTAACCTTTATCTGTTTTATTAACGCGGGTTAATTACCAAAAATTATGAAGCAATCATTTTGTTGAACCCATTTTAAACTGTGACATAGCAAAGTTTAAATCGATGTGATTGCCTTATCAAAAAATTTCTATACAAATCTTATAATTTTACCATTGCAACATGTTCGATTCATTTTTTAAATCAAAATAAATACGCTCAATTTTATGCATTGCAACTTTCATAGAACAAATTATGCAAAAATGATGCAAACCTATATTACAAATCAATAATTAAATAGAATATAATTCGTTTATAGTATTATATATAAGATTACATTGTATAATCGTGTTATACAATAAGAAGAATATTTAAAAAACACACGAAATCAAACTTATACAATTATCTGTACAACTTATATAAAATCTAGTAATAATGCAATATCAATTGTACGAGTATGTTAAGTAAATTTGATTCATTATTATTATTTTGTCTATATTAGACTGATCCCATCCCTTTTACGTTATTTTGTATGTTTGAGTACATTAAGTATTATTTAAGTATATTGCAAAATATTGAGAGATCATACCTTCATTGTGTGTTATTATACCCGCAGAATTAATCTGGTTTCAACTATACTTAATTAGTTTTCCTTATAGTAAGTTTTCATCATTATATACATACCTTTAATATCAGTCAAAATATTCTCTATTTTCAATCGCGTATATAAAATTAGTACTATGTACCTATAGCTACATATATTTCTTCATAATAATGTTTCTCACTTATATTATATTATCATTATCGTAATGCAATGCGTATTCTATAATTCAGGATTCACACAATTTAATCATTATTATTATGTATGTCATACAAATATATACTTTCAAAATAATAATAATATTCCTATGTATAATATCAATATAATTATAATAATCTAAATATATTTTAAAGGTGTTTTAACATGGGTTGTTGCGTATGTTATAATTGGTAAATCAGCTGGACCAGGAGGACAATTATTTCAATTGGTAATATTAACTGTGTGTGCAAATTTTGGTGGATTTCTCATATCATTAGCAAATTTACCACGTTTAATTGGTATGCTATTAGTTGGAATATTGTTTCAGGTAATTAAAAGTGTTCATTATATATATACATATATATATACATATATATATGTTGTTTTTGTTTTACATTTCAATTCATTTTGATATTAGAATATGTAATTATATAAAATAACCATTATTATATAATCTAAATTTTAAATTTGTGGAATTTGTGTTCAGTAAAATTTTATTTAATTGTTTTTTAACCTACTTATTTTACAATATGTACGAGTATAAGAATTACTAAATTAAATATTTTTTTTTTATTTTTTGTTAGAAAAGAGTTTATGGTACAAAATTTTTTGAAAATTTTTTAATTTAATTTTGAGCAGTAATTATTAAAATAATTTAATTTCATTATTATTTTAGTTCTAAATCCCAAAAGCTATTTAAATAAATAATTATGTATATATGTAGTATAAAATTGTAATCATATCATTATATTTTAATTGTTAAATTTAAAATAATTTTCCTAAATTGTTATTTTTTAAATTGAATTTATTTTATTATTATACATTTATTTTTAATTTTTATATTTTTTTCATATAATTTTTAGAATATTGGTTGGGTAGATCTTGGTGGTGATTTTACACATGTAACAGGAGAATTACGTAAATTGGCATTAACATTAATATTAATACGTGCTGGTTTAGAAATGGAACCGGAAGCATTTAAAAAAGTATGGAAAACGATATTAAAATTAGGTGTTATACCATGGACAGTAGAGGCTGTTGTTACAGCAGTAATGTCACATTTTCTATTAGAATTACCATGGATGTGGTCATTTTTATTAGGTGCTATAATTGCTGCTGTTTCTCCAGCTGTTGTTGTACCATGTTTATTTAGATTAAGAACAAAAGGTTATGGTGTTGCAAAAGGTATACCAACATTAGTTATTGCTGTTGCTGGTATTGATGATGCATTATCAGTTGCAATATTTGGTATTATTGTTAGTATTATGTTTTCATCTGGTGATATGGCATATGTTATATCACAGGCACCCGTTTGTATTGTTGGTGGTTTATTATATGGTGTATTATGGGGTTTAATGGCATGTTATATACCAGAGAAAGGTGATGCATATGTTGTACCATTACGTACAATAATGTTATTAGCTGGTGGTACTGTATCAATATATGGTAGTGAAATGTTAGGATATGAAGGTGCTGGACCATTAGGTGTTGTATTTGCAGCATTTATATCAAATTATTTTTGGTGTAAACAAGGTTGGGAAATTGAAGATAATCCTGTATCAACAGCATTTGAAATATTTTGGATGATTTTTGAACCAATATTATTTGGTATTACTGGTACAACAGTTAAGGTATTATTAAAATTAATTTTATGTAATTTACATAAATTAATTATTTTCTAATATTCTTATTTAGATAAATGAATTGGAACCGGAATTAGTTTATACTGGTATTGGAATTTTATCATCTGGTTGTATATTAAGAATTTTAGCAACAGCTGGTATTGCATTTGGTGATCGTTTAAATGTTAAAGAGAAATTTTTTGTTGCACTTTCATGGATGGCTAAAGCAACAGTGCAAGCAGCACTTGGTCCAGCTGCAATGAAACATTTAAAAGAAGATTCACCAGAAGAAGAAAAACATTATGCAAAAATTGTTCAAACTGTAGCAGTATTAAGTATTGTTTTAACAGCACCATTGGGTGCAATATTAATATCAATATCTGGAACAAAATTATTAACAAAAACAAGACAACCACAAGTATTGGAAGGTAAAATTTTAAATATTAATATTTATATTACAACAAAACAAAAAATTAAAATAAAATATTTTTATTAAATTTTAGGATGGCGAAGAAGTCATAGACCATCTATGCGTGATATTAGTATTATTGATGAGGAAGAGGAACGTGAAGATCCTGAATCATCTGATGATAATAAAGGAACAACTCAAGCAAATACAAATACAAATGCAAATACAAATGTTTATTCAATAACATCACCGAATCCAACAACGTTTACATATACAAAATAACAAAAACAATAATTATTTTCTTGTTTTAGAATTCCTTATTAAAATATTAAATAAAATTATGTATTTAGTTCAGTATTTTCTTCTTCGTAATTATTAGTTTTAAGGATAAATTTGTTTTTAATAATATGTAAGTGCATACAATGCGAATACTTATTTGTTCCAATACAATTTTTTTTATTTTCATTCCATTGAACTTAAAAATTTCATTTTTATAGTTAAATTCATCAAAATTTCATAATTGTACACATGTGCATATTGTTGTATATTGTGTTTCATACATTTAATTCATTCACATGCCATATAGATTTACAAAATTTTAGATACTTTTATTATTAACTCGGTTTATGATTATTTGAGGCTTTAATTTAATACTCTATTTTAATGGTATAATGTGAATTCAAAATAAACGCCATTACATATCACATGTTTCGAATAAAAATTTTCGATATCTTTTCAAACTCAAATTTAATTCCAAAATTTTATTCTCATCATAAATTGATCACTATAATGGCAACTATTATCCTGTCTACATCATCACTTGTTGTTTGAAATAAAAATTATTTAACGCTTAAACCCGTTCATATTCTCTAAATGAACGCATATCTAAAATTAATAAGGAAATCACAAAATCACTCATACAATAGCATTTATACAACAATTTTGATTATTCCATGAGCATGGTAGTTTATTAATGATTAAAGTATGTATGCATTTTATCAGAAGATTATAAATACAATTTGTTTCCTTTCACTATACCCTTTAAAGAGAAAACCATTTTTCCAAAGATCTTGAACAATTTCTATATTTTACTTTTAAAAAATTATTCTCATATAGAAAATATTAGTAAATATATGTAAGTAACTTCTAAATGCATTAAATACAATATGCTCTTCATGTTCCAATTTCATTACGTAATCCAGTTTGTAAATATGTTTATTTTTGAATAGTGTGGCACCACTGTGTTACTTTAATTCAGATATCACAGATTTTCTTATTGAATAAAATAAATACTTTCACGTATTCACATATTACCGAGCAAGGATTATAATATTAAGTTTATTTTGATTGTGAACTTCAAAACTAAGTCTACTTTCCAGAGAAAAGTTTACAACTATTTTCAAACAACACCTTTGTTAAATGTGATGCAATTTGAAGCAAATAATAACTTTTTCTTAATAATAAGAACACAGTCAATTATTCACCATTTTTTTTTGTTTTACAAATTTAATAAAAACCGATTTACTAGAGTAAAGACTATAATTTAATACAATAGTGATTCCTTTACAATTTATATTCATAGCTCTATAATAAATATAAAAACAAAAAAAAGTAATATTAATTTTTCGCTTATTTCATTCTTACTATGCTATAATTTTCACGATATCATCTACATTGCAATTTATATTTTTCAATTAAAATGCATAAAATGTACTCGTATTACACACATATATTTATTTAATGAAATAAAATAAATAATTTTCTTCTCTATTCTTTTTGTTTTTATTTTCAGAATATCCTATATAAAATGAACACAGATGAAATTTTCCAAAAAATTAAATTAAGAGAAAAATAATATTATATATAAACTAAAAATAAAAGTATTACTACTCTAGCACTTAATCATTTATAATATAAAAAAAAATAAATATATATATCGTTACCAGTACAATATTAAGGTACCTACACACAAAATCGTAATTTAACTCCTCAATTTTTAATAGTTTTGTGTTTTTTTTTGTTGTCTTTTATTCTCTCCCTTTTGTTAATATGATTAAAAAATTCAGTTCAAGGACTCTTTTTTTTTTCTTTGTTTTATTATTATTTCTTTAATTTTATACACCATCATATAAAATATAATATTAAATATTAGTCTGTGTGTATAAAATACAACGATATGAGTTCAATAACGACGATTCAGGTTTATCGTCTCTCCTATATTATACAATATTATTATTTATATAAAAAATAAAAATATATTAAGTAAATATGAATAAAATTGAAAATTGTAAAAGTAGGAATATATAAAAAAAAAAAAAAATAAAAAAAGAAAATTAAATTTAAAAAAATATAATAATAATAATTAATGTAGCATAACCAGAAGAATATTGTATATTTATCACATTGGAATAATAATAAAGTATATAAATTGAAATTACATATTTATATTTCATATTAAAATATTAAAAGATTGTATTGGGTGTCCAGCAATAATATTAATGATTTTATATTCGGTAATAAAAAATAAAAACAGTGCCTTAAATAATACCAACAGGGTAGATTTTTTTTTACAAAATCTTGCATAAGTTTCGAAGCCAAATGAATTGAAATTTTAGTATTTATGTCAGTATACCAGTATAATACGCAAGTTTAAAATTTATAATAATATGAAAAATAATATGTAAATTTGTTTTTAAGCAAAGAGTCATACAATTTTGCAGCAAATTTAATATTTTAAAACTCTCATAATTGTGTTGGTTCAGCACAAAATTATTTTAATAAAAACTCAGTACAAAAAAAAAAACACTACCCTGACTTTACCTATTCTTTTCCAACAACTTGTACACAAGCAAAAAATTATAGCAAGCTGCAATATTTGCAACACAAGTTAAAAAAAAATGTGTATATTAAAGTATGAAATACTCTTTCATAGTTTCAAAAAAAAAAAAAAAAAATACAAATAATTTTTGTTCCAACGCTTTACGTATGTTTGCATATATACATACGAGTATATTCGTCTTTATGAATCATAACGATTACATATTTTCTTACCATTTCCACAAATCTCATATTTTATGGCTATTTATAATTTTTTTTTTTTGTATTAACGTCCCGCTGAACTTTTTGTTATTCTTTTTAAATAATTGTAAGTATAATGCAATTGATAATACGTACCCATTATCCTTTGAGTTCATTATAATCACCATCACAATTTCTCACAATTTGGTATGTATTTAAAAATGTGAACGAATTATTTATGATCTTTATAATTATAATTAAAATAGTACTAAAAAACATTTTAAAAATTTTTTTGAAAATAAAAAATTTTTTAAATTTTGTGTGAATTTTCTAAAATTTTAGTTGTTATTATTTCTAAACGATCTTCTATGCAATTATATTTTTAGTTAATTTCAATTAAAATATATTTTTTTTAATGAAATTGAATATAAAAAGTCTTGTTTTGAGAGAACAAAAAATTAAATTTTGTAAATTAAATATTAAATTTAAAAAATTAAGTTTTTCTAAATAATCTTGGGGTTACTTGATTTGCTTTTACCAAGCTATATGAGGCAAAGCAATATATTTCATCTTTATGAATTTATAAGAATATAAATTAAATATATTATTTTCCAGTTTTTTTTTATTGGCACAAAAATTAAATTGAATAAAAATATTTTCTAATGAAAATTAAGAAATAAAACGCCGAATAGAAAACATTACTGTATTATAAAGATGTTCAATATAATTTTCTCTTCAAAAATTTTTCTAAAATAAAATATTTTGGTTGTAACTTTATAATAGTAATTTTTAATAAATTATACACTATTGTTCTTAAAATTTATTAGGTAACTATGCTCCTAATTTTGTATTCCTTTTTTTGTTTTAATAAAAATTGTTAAATGTATTAAATTTACAATATTACAATTATTATTCTATAAGAAATTTCATATTATTATTAATCAATTATTGTTATAATATAATATTATGTATATACGTATTATGTAGATATATGTATAAATTATATTGTTATCTAAATTAGTTAGTGATGATATTTTTAAAGTGTAAAACAAAAAATTAAAAAATTAATAAAAAAAAATTTGAAAACCGAAATATAAAAATGCAAGAATTTTTATTTGTTACTTTGCATTCGTAACCGGAAAAAATAGTTTTATAAAATAAGGAGAAAGTTACACAAATTTTTTTTATTATAAAAAATTATAGAAAACTAATTGGTGGTATTTTAAAAAAATTTTATTATGTAGTTATTATTATTATATTAACACTTAGTTTCTGAAGTCTTGCGAACAAACACTTACAAAACTAAAAATTCATTAGAAAATTTTAAATCTTCAATAATTTTTTCCAGTCTAAAAGTTTAAAAAAGAAAAACAATAACTATAAAAAATATTTTTTGGCCTTATCAGAACTGAAATTGCATTTCCCTTAGGTTAACAAAATTCAATTTCAATTACATTTTCAATTGGTTTGAACTTAAAAACATGAAAAATAAAATTAAATTATAAAATTTCAATTTTTGAATTTAATTTAAAAATTTATTCAATTATAAATTTTTTTTTAAATTAAATCTTTTAAATCTACAATTTAAATTTTTCTTAATCACTTTTTTAAACAATAATTAATTATGCATAATTTTGAACTACATTTATAATTTAAAATAATCTAGTTTTATAAAATATGTATGTTTTATTTAAAATTAATTTTCTTTAATTTTAATTTATTGGTTGGTCTCACAATACGTTTTCTTTCATCTCTATGTTTCTTCAATTCATATTCACGTTTTTTCATTTCCTTAGTTACTTTTTTGGTACTGAATGTTAATTGTTTATTACCAAATCGTCCATTGGAAACATCATCATCTAATTTATTTGATTGTTTTTGAAGTAATTTTTCAAAACTAATTTTACTTATCTTCTTTTTATGGGCATCGACCTTAAAATCGGCTTCTGTATGCAATGCAACCATTTTTGATAATGACTTTATTTGATCACCGTCTTCCATTTCATTATTATTATCAATATCATTTTCTTCTTCTTCATCTGCTTTTCTTGCCTGATCTTTTTTAATTTCTTTATAAGCCTGTCTCATTTCTTTACTGTACTCTTTAATATCTTCATCAGAACTTTCTTCTTCTTCGCTACTTCTTTGAGCATTACTATCTCCAAACAGATCATCATCGTTATCTGATTCACGTTCTTTTCGTTCTTCTTCTTCAGCTTGTAATTCTAAGACCCTTGCAGATTCAATTCTTTGTTTAATTTCTTTTAATTTAGATTTCTTTAAACGATTCAATGCTGGTGCCAACATTTTATATTCTGGAGCATTATAATCGATTTTAAAATCACTACTTTCAAATAATTGTTTAAATCGATTATCTTCCAATAATGATGGCATTTTTTTCTCTTTTCCATTAGCATTCATTCTATCTTCAATTATTTTCAATGCTAATTCTTGATTAATTTTAGGTAAGTTCGCTAATTGTAAACGAGAAGGCCTTTGGGCTTCGAGTTCTTTACGAACTTTATTAGCTTTGTAATTTTCATAAGACGTAGGTTCAACGATACTTCTGGCTTTTTGATATAATCTATAATCAATAAAATATCCATGCATATAAGCACGTAATAAATTTGTTCCAATTAAATTATCTAAGCCTAATTCCTCTAATTCCTTTGTCGTAACGAATCTGTAGTCATCGTAAATATGTTCAACAACTTCTGATTCAATTTCTTCAGCAACATTATCTAAAAATGAACACCATTTTGGTGCTGGTCCCATTGCCGGTATATAATATGTAAGCATTTTAACATCTTCTTGAGCTAAGAAAAATAATCCAGTCCCAGGTATTGTACAAAAATCATTAAAATGTGAAGTAGATTCAATGTAAGTTAATTGTTTGCCCTTAAATTAAGTGAAAATGTAAATAAAGTACATAATATAATAGATTATCTTTGAAATTTACGTTATTTTCATCCCAAATTTTCAGCATAGCCGAATCTAATGAATAAACGTTGCCCGTATTCGCATTGAAATCAATTCTTTTAACTGGTAGTTTATTTAGTTGGTCTTTAATTAACTTTGGCGTTTTAGAACGTATATCAAAGAGAAGTACATGACCAGATTTAGTTCCGACTCCTAAAGTAAGAGCATTTTTAAAATGCAATGCTGAAATCTGAAATTAAATTCTATAAGTTATTTTAAAATTTATTAATTATATACACTAACAGATGGGAATTCCTTAGTATTCAAAAGATTCACCGCAACATCTAAAGTTGCAACTTTTTTCCGATCTCTGTAATCCCATGCTTCCACAGTTCCTTCTTCTGTACCCGAACATATCAAACCATGTTCATTATTAATTGCTAAAGCATTTACACAACTACCCTCTGACTCGTATGATTGCAAGAACTGACCCCGTTCTAAATTTAAACGGTAAATATCCTACAAAAAAACTTCAATATTAACTTCATAAATTTAAAAGATTTTTTATGATTTACACTTGAATTGGCTCCAATCAATAAATCTGCAGTCTCCTTATGATATTTCATATCTCTTCCAAATTTTGGTATTCTCAAACGAAAATGTCTACCTTGTGAGGTATGGAGTTCGATATATCGATCACATTGCAGAAATACCTAAATATCATACATAAATTGGTTCAATAAATGTCTAGGAAAATCAGTTGGTAAATCCTTGCACCAATAAGATGAATAGTAAATAATATTTTACATAATTGTAACATCACGTATATAGTACAAAAATATGAATTTACTACAAGTAGTTGCAATGTACTTTGCTATACTAAGAAATTGTGATATTGTATTGGCTTACTTGTATGGTAGAAGTGTGGTTAAGATATTAAGACCTTTAATCATACTTTTAAAGCCATTACAAAGTTACAATTAACCAAATTGGTGCAAGTGTATACTAAATATCATCCAATTACCATTTTGCTGTAATCTTCGCTTAAGACTTCCAAACATGCAACTTCAGAGTCAAAGCATCTTTCAAACTTTATTGACAAGTTACATACTTCGTAGCATTTAACCCTAGGTTTGTATGTTCCACATGCTACAATATATTCATTATCTGGAGTCATTCTTATAGATGTAGAAACAGCAGGCATATTAAAATCTTGTATTAATTCTATTTGTCGTCTGGAATCTAATTTATTTTTTAATTGGGATTTCTTTTTCTGATCGGTGAGCCACTAAAATATATATGTATGTAATTTAAAATTACACTACTTCAAATATATAAGTAATGTATTTTGTTTTTACTTACTTCCGGAACTGATTTCCCTGCACTTAAATTGTATATTTTAATATTATTAATATCGGTCATAAACATTTTGAAATATTATTTATTTCAAATTAAGAACAATTGAATAAAATTTAAAATTATTTATGCCCACATCACTTGGACTCAAAACAGAATGTAAAATAAAATGCTAGTCTGTTTGTTTGTACATGTGCTCTTTGACAGTGTGAAACATTTTAAAATGTAATAAAACAAATGTCAATTTCCTATTTGACAAGTTAGAGGGTCATCTATTGACATATAACTTAACCAAATCTCTAAGTACGATATGGTCACCAATAAATAATTGCATTTTATTTTTATTACATTCGAGAATTTTTATTTTCAATCACTAGATGTCCCTTTATTTATATAGGTTCCGTTATCTTTTAAATAATCCGAGCAACATTTGAGCTGAGATTATTGTCAGATAAAATATCACCATCACGTAGTGAGTTGACGCTTGTGAATAAGATCCATTGTGCTACGGGAAATTTTCTTTCTTTTCGAATAAATAACATGCGCTGATTGAACTTTTATTAATCTCTATAATATATGTATTGTTTGACATCAACTGTAAGGTTTTACATAATCGTGTTTTCATATACATATGGAATATGTTCAGTTAATATGTAAATCGTAATATGCGAAATCCATACATAATGACGATTGAACTTAATATTCTTTTATTACAACTTAAATTTCATATTATTGTATTTAAACGAATTCGTTTACTGTAAGCTTTATTATTTAGAAGTATTCTTAATAATTTGGTTGTTTCTTATTTTGTTTAGGAGTCTAGTATCTTATCTTAGCAAGTAGTAACGTAATTAGTCAAGCTATATTATGATTTGAATGTTGATTTAATTGGGAAAATTTATATTAAATTTGAAATATCAAAAAATGTTTTCTAATATTAACAAGTAAGTTTCAATTAATAAAATACATAAATTTTCCATTTATAATCTTCACTCTAAACTCTTTAACAATTTCCACAATACAAAATGTAACCATACAGAAAATAATTGTGCGACATCTGTTAACAAAGCGATTATATAGTTAAAATATTCAACCAATTATCCCTATAAACACTTTGTTCTTTGATTTTCGATTTTGTATTTTTGCCTTTTCGGAATTATTAAAATGACATTTCTATCATACAAAAACTCTCTTATTTTTTTTTATTTTTGTTGTTTTTTTAAAAATGAAAAAATTCAAACAAATACGTTTTATATTTATTCTTTAGTCGAGTAAGATCTGGACCGAAGGAAACATCTAAAATAACGCAAGGAAGGGTTTTTGAAAGCCGGAGTGATTTTTTTTTACCATCTCTTACCATCTTTGTTCATCACTCGTTGTGTGAAACATTTGAGAAAAAATAAAGAAAAAAACCATTTTTTTTTTTTTTTGAAAATTGAAAAAAAACCTACAATTTGAAATAAAATTAATTTTTAAAAAAATAACCAACATACAAAAAAAAAAGAAAGGTACTGCAAAACACAATTTCAAAGAAACTTTTTAACACAAAAGAAAATTGAGTCTTGAAAAAGAGGGAAAAATCGATAATTTATAAGACCGACCCTTAAAACAAAAAAAAAATCTAAAATAAAAACAAGAGACTATCAATTTTTTTCTTTCTTTCTCTGTAAGAACAAAAACTAAAAAATATTTAAGGCAAAAAAAAAAACTTTAAAACCATTAATAAAAAAAAAAACAACTAGAGAAAAACAACTGAATTTATTTTTTCAGAAAAGGGAAATTTAAAAAAAAAATTTTTTTTGAATATTCTCTTTTTATCCGAATAAATAAATTGGAAAATTATTCTGAAAGAAGAAAAAAATTACAATTATTATGGCAGACTCAGAAAAGGAGCAACAACAACAAGCCCAAGGCGGTGATCAGTCACCACAAACGGCTAAAGCACCGAAGCAAGTAATTGGTAAGTTTAATTACAAAAAATTTTTACAAATAAAATAAATTTTTATAAATTAAGAATAACAATAATGCAAATAAAGAATAAATTTTTTGATAATTTTGAATGTATGTATGTATACATGTTCAAAAGAATGTATGGATAATTATACATACAAACATACAAACATAAATACTAAACAACTATAAAATTATAGAAAATTCGAATTTTCTCGGTTTTCTCTCAAATTCTTATTTGAAAAAAAAAAGAATAACTTTTTTATTAAATTTTTATTCCCAGAATATGACGCCCGCCATATTGATTTTATTTTTCATTTTATTTTGTTTTTTTTTTTCTTCTCTCTCTATTTTTATAACATAATATTTTGTAGCATCAAAAATATTTAATTTGTACAGTAAGCTCCAATTAAATAAGATTACAATAATAATTATAATTCTTTGATTAAAATTTAAGGGAAACAGGATTAATTTATCGAATTCTGCTAAGCTTTACTTATTTTATTGTAATATTATTTTCAAGTATATTATTATTTGAGTTACTCCTGTTCTTGACGATGAATTTAATTCAAATTTTCAATTCAAGTTTTTGAATTTATTTTCAATTATACTTGCAAACAAATAAATTATTTTTTTCATAAAACCATTTTTTTTTTAAATGAAATTTATTAATTTATTTACACTTTTAATCATACGAGCATAACAGCGTACATTGGCCTCGTTCCAAGCAGATCTTTTATTTTAATTTTACTTTCTATTTTGTATTGTTCCTATATCAATACAAAAACGAAGAAGCGAACCGTAAAATACATACGAAATTCATTTCAAATGTATAAAGAAGTTTTGAACATTGCTCGTAAATATTGTATGATTTGATTTATATTCGATGAATAATATTAGATTCTTTCACAAGACTGAATGAAATTTTAACTCAGTTAGCAACGATTTAAATTATAACTCTGTGAGCGTGTCTTTTTCTTCATCAATAATATTAATATTTAATTTTTCTGACAAAACATTGTATTAATTTTACAACTCTAATAAATTATTTTTTTAATCAAGTTATTTCAAAACTATTTATTATTATTTTTTAAAATTAAATTGACTTATTGTGAATTATGATTTGTTTACGTATTGTGTAAACAAAGCAAGCGTCAATATTATTAATTCATTAGAAAAATATATAGAATGCCATGCAATTCCGTTTCAAACAAAATTCAAGAAAAATGTTTGGTTAACAAATTTCTGTTTGACTCATATAAAATGTTTTAGGAAATTTATGCGAAACAAAACAATTGAAAAGAGTTCATCGCATATTTTATAAATTTTTGTTTTTAGGTTTTACTGTGTTTGTTTATTATTCTTATGTATCTAACATAAATTTTTACATAAAAAAAAACAAGAGTCAATATAATATGAAAATAATATACTAATATACATTTATACATACATATGTACATACATATATGTAGATGAACTAATAGTATTTTTTATTGTAGATTTGATAAACATAGAGTTTACTATATTGTATAATTTTATACGAGTATTTATAAAATTGTATCTTATGGGTAGGATTACATACATTACATACATACAGATATATATTTCGTGCCTAAATAGATAGTCTTATTATTTTGTATATTTCATACAGAAAATGTACATATGTACAAACAGTAAGTCTATCTACACTATATACAATATTGTACATACAAATATACTTATAATATCTAAAATGTAATTTTCCTAGGTGTTATTCAACTCGGAATAGAAAGAAAAACAACATTTGTTTTTTATTTTCAATATTTTTTTTTTATTTTTTCTATTTTCGTATAGGTATTTTAAAATTTTTTATACTTATTTATATATGTACATATATATTTACATATACATATAATTTATAAAATTTTATATTTTATTATATATTTAATTATGTCGTCATATATATTTTGTTTTAATATAAACCCTAATATTAGAATTTTTCAAATAAAATATTAACAATTTTATGAAAGAAAAATTAAAATTTTTTTTTAGTTTTATTCAAAAATACGCATATTAGGCTATTTAATAAATTTTAATATTATTAAAATCGTATAAGTAGAGTAGTGCCCTGTTTATTAATGAAATAAAATAATATTTTATGTGTTTCTATCCCTATGCGTATGTTTAACTAAACAATATTTTTATTAATATTCCAAATTGGGGTTATTTTCAATCAATCCGGCTATACATACATTTTGTATTCTATAGTCTTTATATTTCATGTAGCATTGAAAATATTTTTTTTAATAACAATGTTATATCTCGTATTTCATATGTTAAATTTTTGACATTTTTATTTAGTGGCCAATTGATTATGAAAAATTACTAAATATAAAATAATGTTTAATGAAATTCAGTGGAATATTGCACTTGCACACCAGTGCAATTCAATAGAGTATTAAGGAGTCTATTGGAGATAAATACCACAAAAATAGTTTGCAACTAAAACAATTTTTTTCAAAATAGCTTTCTCGTTTCAAGTGCATATATGAATTTTCACAAGTAGGTACCTGAAATGTTTTGCTTAGTCCTTATATTTATTTTAATATATTAAATTCAACTCCTAAATTTAAATGTTTATAAATAAGTGTCTACATACATACAAATTTTGTAACAATTTCTAAAATGTGTATTTAATTATGCTCCTCTATATTATTTATATAGCGGGTATATTTAGTTTATTACGACGTGTATATATACATACATATATACAACCCCTGGAAAGATATTTTTACAACTCCATAAAGTATAGGTATAGACATAATAAATATTTTGACTCAGAATCAGAATTGAAAAAGAACAATATTTAAAAACTAGTACCTCCCGTACAAGAGTTCGATAGGAGCTTTAAAAGAATTTCACCAAATATTGTCATGCGGCATTTCATTTAAAAAGTCTCCAAAATCTTTACGACCTTTTTTTCTACAACTGTTTTGAACATATTTTCTCCAAATCTTCAGAGTTCAAATGGGCCTTGTATGATCAAGGCGTTTACTGTTATAAAGGTCTTGAAAAACTCTGCAAAGAAACGTCTCCCTTAACTTTATGTTAGAGGCGGGTATTCAATTTTTGCCAAAGACCAAAATTAATTTTATTTCACCTAAAATTTATTTATATGTTTTTTTCAAATGAAATCTAAATATGTCTGAATTTTACTTTAATTAAAAAAATTATATTTAGGATGGCAATGATTATAATCCTTCCAAGTTATGTTTATCATGCTCTTTATCAATTTTAAACAAATGGTCACCTGGTTAACTTTATTATTCCGTATATTCTGGAAATTATTACAAAACTAATGACTAAATTTTGTAGATTGTTATTTTAGTACGTAGTTAGTTACAATTTTTTATTTTATTATTGAGCGAATAAAGTAAAAATTGTTTTTGGGGGGAAAATTAATAAATAATACAAATATTATTATATATGTATATACATATATATACACATTTGTTGATGTACATTTAAATAGGCGAGTAGTTGCGAGGTTACATTGAAAATAAAAATCACAAAACAATTTTAATTTATATATTGTTAGTAGTATTATTAAACGATATGGTATGGTTACGGTCAAAGAACCGGCGAACCTAAAAAAAATTTTTTGTATTTCAAATACATACATATACATATCTATCTGTTTTACTATAAATACGTTTTTATTTTTTTATTTTCATGACAAAATACATACTTAATTGAGAAGAAGTTTTGCTTTTTTTATTTTTTGGATGAAGATCAAAATATTTAAAAAAACATACGTACGTGCGTTTATATACGTAAATAAAATGTACTTATATACTCAAATATAATGAAGTATGCTATGTATATACATATATATATATACATATGTATGTACATATTTAAATATATAACTACAAATACGTTATGTGTGGATTTACGTACAGACATTAAATTTTACAAGCAAAAATTATTGTACACATGAAGGAATGCTTATGTATAAGAAGCCTACTATACATAATGTGGCAATTTTTTTAAATTTTTATATAAAAAATTTATATTTATATTAAAGTATGTATGTATACATAGAGTATGTACATTTTTAATCTTAATCTAAAAATAATATAATTTGCTTACTTTTGTTAGATGATCTAGTAAAAAATACACAGAGGTCTATAATAAATTACTTACAATATATTTCTATGTAAGTATGTATATGTATGTATGTATTCGCTAATTTCTATGTTCTTTTCCTTCTTCTTATTCATTAGTGTAATAATTTTGTTATGCGTGTTTTTTTTTTGTTTTTTTGTATTTAAGACTTTATAAAACTTTTGAACTTATAGTAAAAATTCCGGTTGAAAAAAAAGAATGAAATTCAAAATAAAAATATGAAAAAAAAGCAAATTAAAAAACACTGGTGACGCTAAAAAATTCAGATCTAGCGTCATCATCGAACCCAGCGAAATTTTAAACAATTCAATTTTTGAAAAACTACACTAAAACAGGAATCTATTAAATACCAACGCTTGAAATCCGTGCTAATTAGAAATCAAAGTAAAGGTTTTCAAAAAACTTTGCAAGTTCTTGGCTTTAATTACGCTTTCATATCGCTCAAAACCTAAAGTATACTTTCAAATTAAATTAATTGTTTATAAGATAAAATTAAACTACTTACTTTTTATCCCTGATCATAAGTTTTTACCGTAAGACCTATAGGCTATTCAAAACGGTTTTTGCTATTTTATAAAAACTGTCTGCTCTACTTTTAAAAGTGTACCCTTTATGTTATACCCTTTACATACTTTTAAAATTGTATTAACATTTTTATATATTTTCTCTTTCATAAATATGAGTTATGAGTCATGAGCTTCATTCATTTTTGAAATGGCAACATTTCACGTCACTTTAAATCTAACGTCGTTTAAATTTTAAATATGTAAGTGATGCAGAATAATTAGATATATTGTGTTTAGTTAATTAATTTAGAGAACATAAGGGTTTCTGTTTTGTAGA